AAAATGGCCCGAGACTCAATCCTTCGGCCGGGCCCCCAACACGCAACCCGAGACCCTTCTCATAATGCCACTAATTTACTCAATTTATACCTAAACTAATGCCACATTCTATTATTAACAAACTTTATAAACCAATTGAACCGGATCCCAAAAACATGAACCAGGCTCAAACCGAATTCCCGAATCTCATGACCGAGCTAAACTAACCTTAAACTATCACAACCCGGACCAAATTTGACCAAAACCTCACTGAATTGAGCTAAATTGGGCTAATTTCCCATAAACCAGACCAAACCGAGCCAAATCAGGCTCAAATCCACCTAAACCGAGGTGAACTGGGCTCTATCCTTCCTAACCCATGAAGGACCAGTCCCCAACTACAGAAAATCGAACTGAACCGGCCAAGACCCCCTGAAATTCATGCTGAACCGGCCCTCTATTCCCGTGAACCGAGCTGAATCGGGCTCAAATTCACCTAAACCAAGATGAACTGGGATGAATTGGACTTAAACCGACAAGAACTAAACTCAACATGTACAAAACCAGACTGAACCGGGCCATATTCCCTGAAAACTACCCTGAACCGGACCCACAAGCACCTGAACCGGCCCAAAGACTAGAAAACCGGCCAGTTTACCACTTTTTTCCCTTAGAACTAAGTGAACCGAGCTGGCTCTCCACCTAAAACTGGCCCAGGCACATTCCCCAAAGTTCCCTGGGCTGGGAACCGGCCTGAACTCCTTGGTCCGGGCCGGTTTGAGATCTGAACCAGCCGGTCAAAGCGGACTGAGCCAAACCGGGCCAATCAACGTTGGACAAACCTAGGAAATTCCCGGGTTTGTCTTTCTCGCCTGAGACTTGGGTTGTAGACCCAGGGTCTGCGATGGACCCAAAAGCCCCAAACCCCCCTAAAACCCCTAGAAACCACTTACCTGATTGAATTGAAGCCTCCTAGCTCAATGTCCGACGCCGTAAGCCACCTAAGCACAATTAATCGAAACAAAAATCAACCGAAACAAGCTTTTAATTTTAGTCAAAGCCTCGGTGGTCCATAGCCTTTCCAGCTCAATTCTCTCCCTCATTTCTCACAATTTTCTCAATTAATCCTACACCCCAACTCGTCTCAGCTTTATATATAAAGTTACAAAGTAAATTTTGCGTTGTTCTATTCCTATTGGAGCAAATTTCGTCTAGGTTGTTCAACCAACTTCTGTGTTCCTCGGCTAATTTTTTTTTTCAATTCAGCCCAACAAGTTTTACTTTGTTCAATTGGCTCCTCAAAATTCTAACATTGGCCCTATAAACTCTTAATTTATTCACCTATGCCCCCAGCCTAAAATCTGGGTTATTACATATATATTCTGATATACTTATATTGTTCACTGTGTATATATATGTACGTTTTTGTATATGTTGTAGTGCATATTCCAGTATGGATAGAATAGGTATCATATGTCACTCATTGAATTTAGTGACTCACTCTTTCATATCTTTCCATATCAGGTTGACCTTCCAGTTTTTAGTTAGAGTTTGACGTCAAAGTCGATTCCAGTCAACTTGACAGATGTACGAGCATGCTTCTTTTTTGTTACCATTTTGTACTCTAGGTTGCTCCGTTATTTTCTCAGACAGAATTCTGGATTATGTATGAAGAGTTTGAGTTATATTTTATGATATGACTGGTATTGTTGATATGTTATAGATGTGAGGTTTATTAAGGTTGATGGACCTTAGTACCAATCACCAGTCTGAGTTTGGGTTATGACACAGAGAAAGGAGATTCAAGACTGAGATATTAGCAAAGAAGAACCAGTTCATGATTAATATTGTATTATTGACTTCTCTTTTGTTATGATTAATTTGATTATTAACCTAGAGAAGACACAATTATATCTTCTTATAAGAAAATAGTGAAATTCAATATTTGAGTTGTAACGTTATTTTTTGTTCATGAAATATAATTAATGTATAACAGTGATATCTAGAGACAAATAAATTGTAAATTGCAATGAATTAGAATTAAATATTATTATTTATGTGAACTATCCCTAGAAAAACCACCATGATAAAGACATTTTGGATGGGTATAACTTTTATTTCTACATAATTTGCACCACAATACTTGACCTTTCTTTCTAAGATTCATTTCATTATGTATACAACTAGATTTTGAGTGACCGCGATACTCTCTTTGCATTTCTGATCAGGACAAAATTATCAACCACTATACTAAGGTTAATATTCTTCATCCCCCCACTACTCAGAATTCCTACTCATAAACACTAAATATATTTTTCAACTTGTAAACTAGGTTTATAAATTACATGCAATCTAAATGGACTAATGTATACATGGCAACAACATGTCAATAGGAGAACTTTAGTGCTTGAAATTTATCACAGTTACACCACCTCTCATTAAATTGCACCTTGAACTTCCTTTCTAACAATTATTCTTGTGAGTCAAGTAACTCCTTTATTAAAAATACGCCACTTTCTCACATAAAGTGATGACTTACGTGAGAGTTTACTCTTGTTCAATTTTCTTCTATGACTTCTGTGAGAGTTTCAAAATATATGTATCCAACATGCATCATTGCCAATTGCTAGTTTCCCTTCCTAAGAGATAGTTATGCTGACCTATATAATATATAGATTTTGCTAATACCGTCGTTGACAGAATTATGCGTTTCTTTCATTACTAAATTAATGTATTTGGTTAGGTTGATTACCATATGGTCACAATGACATCCCCCATTAAATGCCTTAGCTCATTTTTGATATATTTATAATTTTGGTACATCTAATTATCTAATTAAAAAGTTGATAAGTAAAAATCGACTTCCTAGCATTAACGCAAGGCAACGTATTGGCATAAATAATTTCTGAAATATCTATTCTGCTAAATAAAAAAAAAAGGTAATATTAATATAAAAAGGTCGGTTGCACGGCCTCATAGAAAAAGTGATCCGATCTCAACTAATGCCCATCTGCCAGCTGGCGCGACAATGCTAACCACAAGTCTAATTTGCGTGAACCCAACTACGTAGTACCAACTGGATTGCCACGTGTAAGGCATTATTCTTCGCAGGCGTGTCGTGTTGCTTGAACACATTAATTATTTGACGGTCCACCTATCGCAGCCTTCAATTCGCTCACCCGTTTCCTGAGAATAAGAAGGCTTCCCCTTTTCTTTTATTCTGAGCAAAGAAAAAGGCTTTCTTGTGCTATCTGGCAACGAAGGGGTGGGCAGGTGGTGAATTGCTTTTGGTGGTTAGTTATGACAACTGGGCCCGGTGGCCCCCTCGCCCCCCCCCCCCCCCTCCAAAAAAAAAAAAAAAAATTTATTACCCTATTTAAATTTTACCGTCGGTTAATTTTTTCTTACCACTGGTGATTGTAGTTTTGTTTGATTAAGTTTAAATTTTAGTTCAAAAATAAATTATATTTTATGATTTATAATTTTAAAAATTAAATTAAATTATAATTCATGATTTAGTGTAATTTTAAAATTATAATTTATAAGTTAAATTTATTAAATTTTATTAATTTTTTCATAATTGTATATCTATAATATGACCAATTAAACTTGATAATTAAAAAAATAATTATTAAAGATTTAAATAAATTAAATAATAGTTTCATATATAATAACTTAAATAGATTATTTGAAAGAATTTAAAGATTAAGAACCATAAAAAATAATAAAAAAAGGAAAGAATTTGAGAACTAAGATGATAAAATAAATAAAGTGAAAGACTTAAATAAGAAAAATTAAAATACTAAATTACAAATTTAAAATATTATTTGTGATTTGGTTCAGTGTATAATATTTCAATTTGATAGTTAAATTATAAAATAAATTGTGAAAAAAATGATATAAATTACGTTAAATTAAATTATAAATTATATAAAATTAAACTAAATCACGGTATAATTCAATTTAGTCGGTATAATTGTTTTGATTCGATTTTCCGGAGGACACTTTTTCTCACCTCCGGTCCTAGTTTTAACCCTTGGTTAATTCATTCAGGGAGGGTCGTTTTCAATTGTTTGATTCGGGGCTGGGAGATTCTTTTGTTTTTCTCTGCTTCAGCCTTGAGCCTGTTAGGGCTAGATCCATTTGCGGTTCAGTATTGGATCCAATGCTTTTCCGAGTTTCAAGTGGCGTTAAAATGTTCGAGATGCCCGTTATTTCAAATTGTTTTTTCTTCTCAAGGTTTCTGCAGCAGTTTAAAATGTGTATTCTATAATTGTACACAAACCGTAGCGCAGAGAGAGAGAGAGAGAGAGAGAGAGAGAGTAAAAGTAAAGGTATTTTTGGGTTTGCAAGTTCTGAGATGGATCACGTGAAGTATAAGCTGGAGTGTCCGTGAGTTTAGTGAACAAGAAGATCGAGAAGCGATGAAACCAGTCAGTCTGCTCTCTCCATTTCATCAATTACAGAAGAGAGAGAGAGAGAGAGAGAGAGAGTTTGAGGGCGAGGGACTGAGGGATGGAGCCAGAGAGGGGAAGAAGAGAGGAGAGTTCATCAATCAATGGAGTGAGTGATTGCGGTACTCTCCCGACTTAAGTGCTCTGCTTTGCGACTTCATTCGTGAGTTGATGAAGAATAAATTTATACCTTGACTTCTGGCTTGTTTGAGACTTATACGTAGTGATTAGTCAAACTTAAGGGGCTGATAATGACACGATAAGAGCAAAAGGCGCCTTTTCTTCCGATTTAACTTCTATGGACCCATTTGTGCATATGCACACATACGTATGCATCACTGTAAAAGCATTTCAACTTTCAGATCTGGAGATTCGGATTTAGAAAGCGATCGGACGAGAGCGAATGGCGAAGAGCAAAAATTTTTTGGGTTGGATTTGAGGATTCTTTCGATTTTCGAGATTCTTTCTTCTTTGTTAATGTTGCTGTTTACGGAAACCATTTTAGGGTTTTTTTTCCTCTTCGATTGAGCTTAGTCCATGATTTTACTCCAGCATTGAGTTAAGAAGAAATCACTCGTCGTCATTTGCTTCAAAATCTTGCTCATGGCACCTCCTCGGGCTCCTCTATCTCTCTTCTTATTGTACATGTGCTGCTCTGTTCTTCCTCTGGCGAGATCAGGCGATTCGGAAGCACTTCTAACTCTCAAGTCTTTAATTGATCGTTCGAGCATACTACAATGGCAAGGAAGCGACATTTGCCGGTGGCAAGGGGTGAAGGAATGCAAGAATGGCAGGGTAACAAAACTCGTCCTCGAACACTTGAACTTGACCGGTGAACTGGAAGAGAAAAGCTTAAATCACTTAGATCAGCTCCGCGTTCTGAGTTTCAAAGGGAACTCCATTGATGGTCAAATCCCAAACCTCTCCGGATTGGTCAATCTCAAATCTCTCTTTCTCAACGACAACAACTTCTCTGGCAACTTCCCTACATCCCTCTCGCTCCTTCATCGGCTCAAAGTCGTCGTACTCTCCGGCAACCAAATCTCCGTCCAATCCCCGACTCTCTTCTCAAGCTCCGGCGACTCTATGTTCTGTACTTGCAAGACAACCGCCTTAGTGGTCCAATCCCTTCCCTCAACCAAACAAGCCTCCGATTCCTCAATATCTCAAACAACCAACTATCCGGTGAAATCCCGCTCACCTCAGCTCTTGTTCGGTTTAATGCATCGTCATTTGCAGGAAACATTGCCCTGTGCGGCGAGCAAATTCATAAGCAGTGTAATGCGAGCCCTGGGTCAGCTCCTTCTATGAGTCCGGGCGATTCAACAGTGCCGTGGAAGAAGAAACCTGGCAACAACAAAAATCGTAGGAAACTTGTAGCAATAATCGCAGGAAGCATCGGAGGATTTGTGTTATTGTTGGTATGTTTGATTGTGTTATGTTTGCTTGTGAGAAGAAGAAAGAGAAGTAACAGCAACACAAGAGAGGTGGGGAGCAAAGTGGGTGGCGGAGAAGGGGTGGAGGAAGGGGAGGGCAGCGGAGGCGGAGGAGGAGGAGGGGCAAAGCAAGGTGGAGGATTTTCGTGGGAAGGAGAGGGGGTGGGGAGTTTGGTGTTTATAGGGGCAGGGGAAGAGCAGATGAATTACAGCCTGGAGGATCTGCTCAAAGCGTCGGCGGAGACGCTGGGGAGAGGAAGCATGGGGAGCACGTACAAAGCGGTGATGGAGACGGGGTTCATCGTGACAGTGAAGAGGCTGAAGGATGCCAGGTATCCTCGGCTGGAGGAATTCAGGAGGCACATGGAGGTACTGGGCAGGCTCAGGCATCCCAATCTCGTCCCTCTCAGGGCTTATTTCCAGGCTAAGGAGGAACGTCTTCTCGTATACGATTACTTCCCCAATGGTAGCCTCTTCTCTCTGATACACGGTACGTTTTCCCGTCTCTCCATCTCCTTATCCATTCCTTCTCTCACTCTGTTTCGTCCTTTCATTTCAGTGTGAAGAAAAAATTATATATGAGAATTAGACAGGATTTATATAACGATATCATAAATTATTCTTTTCTTCTAAGGTAAAAGTTAACTAAATTCTAATTAAAACATAGGATCAAGGATGGGATAGTTAATGAGTGGTGCAAACTACAACAAGTTTATTAAGAATGTTAAAACAAGAATCAATGCCTCTTTCCTTAAAACCCAGTCGGGTGAAGAAATGGGTTCGGCCGATTAGGGTTTGTAAAGAGTACGGCAACAGAAAAGTAGCAGCACTAGACACCTTTTGTTGGCGTCGGTGCCGGGGGGCAGAGGTTCTTTTGACGAAAAAATGCAGATAGATTCATCAACTAATGTTTTCTTATGATTGTCTTCATTTCATTTATCCGTTTCGTCTTTTTGAACCGATGCGAGTGATGTGAGTTGTTTATTACATTTTTAAGATTAAATTATTTAGAAAAATGCAAACCCTCTTTTTCTTTTATTTTTAAATTATGAAAAATAACTTCACGTTTTCAAAAACGTGCATATTTTCCTTTTTATATACAAATAATAATTTTTTTAAAAAAATTAAGAGCATAAATAAAATTAAAACTAGGTTATTGGGTACCCTTAATATGGTGTTTAAAACTGAAACAAAGAGTAGTCGCGAATGGACCGGTTAGGACTTGCAGCTTAGCTTTAGAGCACGTCTTTATCTGTCCAAAAGCGACGCAAATGGAGTTTGTGACGGCTAGATTTGATAATGGGTGGGCGGGGATCCGGGATCCACCTGGGGCCTTTTAGCCGTCGTCGTATTTGCTTAATGGCCCCTTATGCTTTGTCCCACTCCCATGGCCTTGGTGTTCTTTTTCACTTTTCACTTTTTCACTTTTCATTTTTATCCCACCATGCACATGACCTTGTCTGACCCGAACACCTCGGTTACGGCCTACAACTGAGCTTATTTCCGCCGGTTGTGAACATTTACCTGATATTTGAAACTGGTTGGCTAGTTCAGTTATTGTCATAATCGTTACATCAATATTAATTATTAAATTTAATATTAATTTAATAAATATTGAAACTCTTAATTAATCAATATTAATTATTAAATTTAATATTAATTTAATAAATATTAAAACTCTTAATTTAATGGGTTAAAATATAGTATTAAAAAAAATCAATCTCGAAGTAGACTTGTTTTGTGTTAATCAAAATCTCTTAACCGATGGAGCTCTGATGCCATTTGATTCAAATGCGGGAATTTTGGAATTACTGAATTTAAACTTTGTTGTACTTATGTGAATTAAACTTATATATAGACACACATAAAGCCTATGCAACTCAATTATGTAAAAGGTTTTATATTTAAATTTTTTAAAAAAATTATTAAATTAAAAATATTAAATTTAAGTAGGTTAATACGAATACATAAGTTTCTAATTTATTATAGAATTACTCGTCATGTCAAACAAATTTAATTTAAGAATTTAGTGGTAGCTTTTATATTAAAGCGAGTCCAAAGCATGAATAAACTTTTGCCTAATTAAGTTTCGATGTAATAGATAGGTTTAACCTTCATTTGCAACCATAACAAAAGCTAAAACTACGCATTGTTAGATAAGGCCGACAACAAGGGGAACTTTTTTTTTTCCTACCTTTTTTTTTTTTTTAAGGTAACAGCAGGGGACCGGCCCACGTGTTTTACGTAGGGGAACGTGTCGGCTCCTTTTTAAATTTAGATTTCTAATAATGATTAGCGGAGAAAGATACTTGCGGTTACCTCTACCCAAAGATTAAAGCCGAGCAAACCATCATTATTTGTGTGCAAAACCTAGTTTAGTTAATTTATTTATATCTTTCTTTTCCGAAAAGATTGACTTTAAAAGTATTAAGATTTAGAAAATTAATTGAAGTAATGCGAAATATATGATGGAGACACCCAGATCCTTTGACTGCCTGACAGACCAGTGGATAATTATTGTGAAGCAAGGCCTAATATCAATCAATTCACACTGAGTTGGAAGAAAGACGACAAACACTCATCAATAAATTTCAAGATTTTGAAAGATACGGTCAAATCAATTCATCTGTAGATACCTACCCCGGCTCTTTTCTCCTAGTCCCTTTCTCCTTTCTTCTAACTTTTCTTGCTTTTGGTATCGAAGGCAAAAGATAAAAAAGTTAGTAATAATTTACAACTCATCCTAGTTAATTTCCTTATCAGAGCACTATTAAGTCTCCGTCCCACTTTGTACAAATTGTGCTAGTCTTTTTGTATTTCCTTATTTTGTCCTCCACGCAAGCTGCCTTTATCATCTCAATTTGGTCACTTTTGACTTTGTATGTTCTAGTCCCACATGCACCCATCTTAACAACCTTACCTCTGTTATACATTTTGTTAACATGTTTTCTCTCAATGTCCAACATTTTGAACCTCAAGACATAGCCTTTTTTTTAAAATTGTTATATAGAACTTTCCTATTTCTCTCATAGCTAAAAGTCAATCGCATAAAACTGTAAAATATTTCTTCATTAAGTCCATCCTACCTTAACCGTATGAGTTACAGTAGCACAGCTTGACATTTTTTTTTTTTTTTTGGAGTATATATGTTTTAAAATTCAATAATATAATTGTATTTTTTATGACTGTCAAATGCACATTTCATAATAAAGTCAAAGATAATAAGATAATAAGAGAAGATATAAGTAGAAGAATGTGAGTAAAAGAATAATTTTATTCACATAAGCAAAAATTGGTTGCAGGTATCAATTATTCTAACCTTGCAACCACTTTCACTATTTTCTAGCAGTTTTTTAGGCATTTCCGAAAGTTTAATCTGTCTTAGTTGACCACACCACGTGGTCCAATCATACCTCTGCCACGGGGCTTAGCGTTCTAACAATGTAACTGTTGATAAAGTCTTCATCTTGTTTGATTGTCTGTCTAATAGTTTGTTATGCATTTTGCCTTGGCCACATCATGCTCCAATATCTAACTGTTGCTTGTGTTTTTTTCCGACAATTCTTGGCTGTCACTAGACAATATATAATTTGTGTACGTTCGTACCACTTCTTTACAGGTTCTTTTAAACGTTGATCCATTTTCATATCCGAAAAAGTTACCACAGTGCTTCGTCTGTTATTGCTGATATATTTTCCAAACTTGTTAAATCAATGTTTCTTTGATTCCTAACCCCCCCAATTTATAGTTGCCAACCCCCTCGTGCATTCACATCTGTTTGCATAATGTTTGGTTTTTTGAAATAGTCTACCTGTTAATTGGATCTGCTGGTCCCTATCTCTTGCTGTTATATTGTTGTTCGGTTTTGCTGTAATAGAGGCCTTCTTCAAGATCCGGAAATAGATCAGAGGCCCGGAGGCCCCAGGTATATGGCTATAGCATATGAAATTCAACTCGGAGAGAATATTGTTTAATTGTTAACACTACAGAACCATGGTCTCGAGAATTTTTCGTAAGTGGTTGATAGAGTGTCATCTTCTATTGTCTTCTTGTTCATTTCCCATGTGGATGGGAGCTATAAGTTAAATAATGGCAAAGTCGTGGCTATCCTTTTAAATTCTTTTACAGCCTATGTTTTTATCATTTCTGTAATGTTATTGAAATATATTGCTGCTGGTCACACAAATGAATAATGAACTTCCAAATTTCATAATTTTCAGCCAAGAATTACAAGATAATGTTGAACCTACATTTTACATTCACCAGCCATCTTATTCTGTCTGTGTTTGGCCCATGTTATGATTATCATCCAGAAACTTTTTTACTTTCAGCATGGGTTAACAATCCATCCAACATTCTGCAGAAGGGTCATGGTGCCACTTGCATTCCACTTGCATTTCCCATATTTTTACTTGTCAGAGTCTGAGACAGATATATTAACAGTAGGCTATTATCTTACCTGTTGCAGGATCAAGAGCTTCAGGAGGTGGAAAGCCTCTTCACTGGACATCATGCCTAAAAATAGCAGAGGACTTGGCTACAGGACTAGTTTACATTCACCAGAACCCGGGCCTAACCCATGGCAACCTCAAGTCGTCAAATGTACTATTGGGGTCCGACTTTGAGTCCTGCCTCACAGATTACGGGCTAACCCCATTCAGAAACCCAGATTCAGTGGAGGAGTCCAGTGCTTCTTCCCTCTTCTATAGAGCCCCTGAATGCCGCAACATTCGTAGGGCACCCACCCAACAAGCAGACGTATACGGCTTCGGGGTTCTTCTACTGGAGCTGCTAACAGGGAAGACTCCATTCCAGGACCTTGTTCAAGAACATGGATCAGACATCCCACAGTGGGTTCGATCAGTGAGAGAAGAAGAGACAGAGTCAGGGGACGACCCTACAGCTTCGAGCAATGAGGCCTCTGAAGAGAAACTCGGGGCTCTTTTGAACATTGCAATGGCTTGTGTGTCACTTTCACCGGAGAACCGGCCAGCAATGAGGGAGGTATTGAGGATGATAAGGGAGGTCAGGACTGAAGCCCAGGTATCTTCCAATAGCAGCGATCATTCACCTGGGCGTGGTCGGATACTGTGCAGAGCTTACCCCGGAAGAGCATTTGAGCATATGATCATCATCGCAGTATTTAATTATTTGAGTGCTTCTTTACAAGGTTTGGCCCTTTTAAAATTTGATGATTGTTTCCACGGTAGAATTGTATTTGATGTAAAGGTTTTTCTCAATTTTTGTCTTATTTCCATTGTTTTTGATAGCTAGTTTAGTTCCCATTATTGTAGCAAGCCTGGAATATTTAGCATGTTATTACACATCTCTCGGCTTGATTTGAGAGAATCAGGTGATTGTTCATCATTTGATTGGTTGTTTGTTGGTTTGTTTTCTTTTGGGGCTTTGTGGGGTGAAATCAATCTTGTCCGACTGTGTGGGCGTTTTTCTTCATATTACCATACATATAAGGTGAACGCTCCGGTGCCCTCCCTAAAGGGAGGGCACCGGTACAATCCTCCCCTTCTGTGAGGGGGGATTGTAAAATTCGGCTGTGGGGCCCCCTCCCAATACAGGGGGCCCCGGCAGTGGTGCTCACTTCTTGTGAGAGGGTGGGCACCGTACCCTCCCCAAAGGGGAGGGTACGGTAGTCTTCACCTATATATAAGCAGAAAGAGGTTTGGAATTTTAAGTATCGGCGCAAGGCAGGAACAGCATATCAGCAATCAATTAATCAATCTTCTTCCACATCATCCGCCGTACCTGCCTGACAGAGGTGGTACTCCGGGTTTCGAACAACTTCTATCGCCTAGGTGGTGGTGTTTGCAAATATTTTTAAAAAAATAAAAAATTAGAGATTAAACTAGAAGTGGGTAAAAGTGGATCAAGTTTAAAGTTGCGTATATCTCCAAGCAAAAAATAAGTTTAGTATATTTATAAACTGCATTACAAAGTTCTAAAAAATAGTAAAAATGGTGTTTAATATAGAATTTTTGTAATATGCTTCAAGGAAGAAAAATTTTTGAAAAAAAAAAAAATCTATGGTGTAAGCTTGAATTTAAGAAAAAATATTTAAAATAACTTTTATTTAATTAAGATAATGTTTATATAGTTAGAAGTATTCATTTCTCGTGCTTTTAAAATTTGCTTTGAATTTTACTTTTTCATACTTAAATAAAGAGAAGTAAAATTTAAAGTAAAGTTTTAAAATATATCAAAAAGTGATTGCATATATTAAAAAATTCAAAATCAATTTATAGAAACTCTTACAAACACCTCTTTATTTATCAAGTGCTAAAGTTACTCTATTACCTTTTTTGTATTTTTCATATTTATATGATATGAAAACTCACTGCAAATTATTAAGACTTTATTTGGACGTTGATTTAAAGAATTTGATTGCGAGTTAAATTTTTTTAATTATGATTTGAGTCAACATTTCTAGAGTTATTAAAACTGTAAAAATTATTTGGATAATAATATTTCTGAATTATGTATTTTGCCAAAAATGTTTGGATAGTGCTAATTGAAAATGCCCATGTTTGGCTCAAGTGTTTGGATGACTCATGGGTTTAACTACATTTTTTAATTGAAAAAACAAATAAAAAAAATATAGACAATTAAATAAAGATGACCATTAAAAAATTAACAAAAAATTATATTAAAACACTACAAATTAACTTGTCAATTATTCTCATTATAGTAAGATAGTACAAAACATCACAAATATAGGTAATTCATTACATCATTCTAAAAGACAACTACCTTGATGGCACACCAGATTGCCTAACTTAGCTAAACCAAAAATCTCATCTAGTTGTGTATGCCATAGTTGGTCTACAATAGTATCTCTTAATTGATCAATTACTGTAATTTCAATTTGAGAGACAACTACGTTGGGTGCATTTTCAAGTGCATACATGCGTGATGTGGTATTTGGTACAACATTAGGGTCCTCATCTCCTGAAACCACGGGTCATCATTTGCATAATTGCAAATAAAGTTGTGGAGGCAACAACATGCAATAACAGTTTGGCGTTATCGAGTTAACATGTAGTTTGGCATCTTCCCCATTAGGATTGCAAATCGTAACTTCAACATACAAAAACAACGCTCTATCACATTACGCAATAACAAATGCTTATAATTATACAACTCTACATGAGTACAAGGACCCCTTCTACTCTCTCTAAAATCTTGCAAGTGATAACGCAAACCTCTATATGGAGCAAGAAATCTAGACATGTTAGTGTAAGCCGAGCCAACAACATAATATTTTCTCACAAATATTAGTAATAAACATTAAAATCCAATCTAATTTTTCATAAATATTGAATAATGCACATCAAGCAATAGTTTCCCGTAAAAATAACAAATTCAATGAGTAAGCTATATTATTTGATGGAGGCATGGGAAAATTCATTTCTGGTCTGGCCAACTCATTGAATACCACTCTTGAGTCATTAACACTACCTTCTCACTTAGACTCTACATATATAAAGTACGTGTCAAAGTTACAAATAGTCAATACATTTTGATAAATTTTGAATTTTCTAGAGTGAAATGTAGTTGATCTATTGGTTGAAACATGGGCAAATATAATGGTTCCATCTATGACACCAACACAGTCCTATAATATGATATCCATAATTAAATTAAAAATCATATATGTAATTTAAAAAATATAATTACTCCTAATACTTATTTTACATATCTTGAAATATTTATAAAATTGATATCCCCTATTACGCTCAAGAGAATCTAATGAAAGTCAGAAGGTACTATCATCTCCTTGCCAAGCTTAACAATTGCTCTCATAAAATGTCTTACATGTCTATTGATAGTTTTAGTTGAATGTTGGAACCTTTCAATTGACACTCATGGTCTTTCGTTATGTTCTATGGTGTAAAGGAAAATGGCTATTGCTTCTTCTATTTTCACCCTACATTTATAAGAATCACTTAAATAGTTGTCTCGACGCAACATGTCACATAATTTCAAGAAGAACCTACATTCATTCGTAGAATTTCTTATATTCTAGTTGGATTACTATGAATCAACTCATCTACCTACTCTGATCTTGCTAGGTTTGAGGCTTTAGAAGGGAACTTTTCTATTTTTTTCTAAATTCATGCTAATACTAGCTGAGCACCATCTATTAAATCAGACAAGTTATCATTTGATTCATCTAAGTCTACAAAGTCAACTCAGTTGCCCACAACTGATAACTAACAAAGTTAAGTGAACTACTATTAGGAGCATCTATTATGAAAACAAAATAGTAAATCAAACCAAAAGTATTTTCATTATTTTAAAAGTCTAAAAAATGAAAACTATTTTCAAAAATGAATATAAGAAATGAAAATAGAAAACATTTTGGCAAACCAAACCAACCCTAAAATAAATGATTTCTTGAGGGCCATTCGAAGCAAATAGACTTTTGGGAGTTTAAGAGATATAGATAGTATGAAACCCAAGGCATAGAAAGAGCTTCATTGAAAAAAAAAGGGTGAACTTTAAACTTCAAAGACCCAAAATAATATAGTGTAAAATAATATGAAAGGTGTGAGAATTCATTGAGTTGTATTGAGTGAAGAAAAAGGGAAAAAAGACACAAAAACTACAAATTTAAAAGAAATTTGTGGATATATGTTAGGGGTCCTGTCACAATTCCTAGAGAAAAAAAAAAGGCCAAACTTGCATCTTCCATACTAGTGGACCAAAAGTAATGTTTTCACCCACCAAATATATACAACATTTCAATTTAGTTTCCAAGAACAGCAAAAAATAGAAAAATAAAATATGTTAATAGCAAAATATGAAAATAACTATCAAATTGTGGACTCCAACAGTTTATGGTACACAACCAATCTATTGGATACAACATAATACCGAAGTCACAAGAAAACTACCTATATAAGATGCTAAAATGCCAAGTTCTCAACTTCACTAATGATAAGATAACTCCTTCAACTTTCTCTTCCAAACTTAAGCAATATTACATGGAGGACAATTCTTGAATCTAACAAAAAATTTGTCCCTTCCAACATTTCATCACATACATTTCAAAGAAAAGGTAAACTAGTAAATTTTTATTTTTCTACCCATGCACAGAATAGTCAAGATTTAAATATATATATATATATATGTGTGTGTGTGTGTGTGTGTGTGTGTGTGTGAATGAACCACAGTTAATATATATACATATATATATATATGATACAAAGTTGAAGGCATGAAAAAGATTAATACATAGATACATGAGAACAAAAATATACATGATAGTTATTTTTTCTGTGTCAGTGTCCCTTTCGGCCTCAACTGCAAGGAAGATCAAATTTTGAATATAGGTAATGTAAAGCAACTTTTATTGGGCTTGGTGCTTGGTTCAATAGTAAAAGCCTATGGTGGGATCACAGTGGCACAGCGTTAATTATAAAGGATCAACACAAAAATAATCTAAGTTCCAAACCACTTGGCTAAAGTTACTAGAATTTTCTAACCAACTAGACCCCGATACAAAAAGTACATATGTATATGAAATGTATAATATATTAAATCGAAATTTCAATAGTTGATCCAGTTGTAACTTGTGTATAACTAGAAAATGTGCTCACTCATCATTAACATTTTCCTTTTTAGCTTTTTCTTTTTGAGGTTGCATACATGTCCTACCATGTCATTATAAAATTAATGTATCTATTATTTATTTTTCAAAATGACATATTCCATAAAAGGATTGGAGGCTAGTTTATTGGAAAATAAGTTAAAATTTCTAATTGAGCTTTTTATCATACATCTACTTGATCCATACAATAAAGTCACTATGATAATAGTTCTGCTTGTTAATCCGCTAAAACATCATGAGAAAAATGGAAATGTAAAGCTAATTAAGAGCCTACATACTTGGGAATGAAATATAGAAGCTTTTGAAAAAGATGAGAATGTGGGGGCATTTAAATGCATATGCCTAGTGAAAATGCATTAGGACAAATGCTAGAATATTTGCCATCAACGTTGTTATCACAAAGTAAAGTGCTAAAAGCACCATAGAATAATTCAAGTGTATCAAAGACAACATTTACAACATACCACAAATTTGCATACACATCATTCGCACTAAGATTTCGTACTACAAAATAAGGAATGAAACATAATGGAATTATTAC